GTAATTTTTTTTGGGTGGGGGGGCGTGAGCCCCTAGATACGCCACTGCCTGTCACTCGCTGTAGACGCTGTCTCTTATACACATCTAGATGTGTATAAGAGACAGAACAAACTCTGTGCAAGTTTTCTTTTTTAGCAATTCAGGAAACAGTCTACAAACTTGTTGACATATATGGTGATGTGTAAGTTGGGCCGATACACAGGCAGGAAATAGGATCTTCGGATGCCAACACATCTACCGCACCCAGCAAACAACAGTAGATGCTGCACAAAATTTAAGTTTGGGTTAATTATATCCTGATTATACTGTATGTGTAGCCTACATTGAAAAAAAAAACCCAGGAAAAAATAATTTTTAATATACTGTAGTATAATTTTAATAAAATTAGTATAGATTTCCTGTCAGTTTAATTTTGTATTTTAATGCTATAAAAGGCCTACTGTACTATTCTGGTATTTTCTAGAAAAGTGAACAGTTGATACCTGTTGAAAAGGAATTACTTGTTATCACAACTCCGAAGGTACAGTTGTTCCCCCACGTGCATTTCAACAGGCTTGTTTGCCTTTCTGCTTCCCCACCCCAACAAACCCAGCATAGCAGCAGCCTAAATATTTTTCCTGAAGTAAGGATATAAAGCCCTCCAGACTAGGGAAAATTCATGTACTTTGATAAATACACCAAAACATTTCTGGACATTTTGAAACCAGAATACCTGGGTGGTGGTTGTGCCAGTTACCAAAAGTGTAAATATCAACACCCCAAATACATTCTCCAAATCTACTCCATTTTTTTTTTTAAATTGTTTTTTAATTGTTAAGCGCTTAGAGGCGTCCAGCCATTTTACGCTATATATCAAATTTAACTTTATTATTATTATTATTCTAAATCATGGACCAAAGTGAAATTTTGATTTAACACTGAGGGCCACGCCCAAATTTTGAAATTTAATATTTTTGCAAAAGCCTTCATGCCCCATGCTTACAGTATTACTTATTACAAATGATTAGTGTCAGGTTGTAAAAACAAGGGGTTGTTTAAGGCAGAGATGGTAGATGGGCCACACACAAAGCTTTTTGTTGGCTGCATTTGGCTGTTGGGACATACATTTGTGGTTGTAGCCATCTTGATAGGATGTAGACCAAGTCTAGCAATTTAGCATTCCTTTGCACAAGGTGTGTTTCTTCTTTGTTCAAGCCCTGCTTTATTACATACTACTGAAATTGATAATATAACATTACACATTTACAATAGAAAAAAAAAAGGGGAAATCCCAGAATAGCTGACATTTTTTAGAAACCCTGGTTATTATGTCTCGAGGTGCATATGAGGGCTACAAGGAAATTGCACTTTATATAATTTTCAAAATAATCATACAGAATTCAAACACAATCGGCTAAGTTATTTTTGTTTAATTACATGAATATTGATAGTGAAACCTAGTACATATTTTTGTTTTTACTTTCTTTTTTTCTTGTAAACATATTTACCGTAATTCTTAAAATGCTGGATTTCTAAGTCACCTGTCAGCAGTGGCGTATCTAGAAGTCTTGAAATGGGGGTGCTGATTTGGGGGGTGCCAATATCAGTTGAGGGGTGCTAATTCGCCAAATAAGGTGATTTTTAACTACTTGACCATGATTAGTGAGTAATTTTTTTTGGGTGGGGGGGCGTGAGCCCCTAGATACGCCACTGCCTGTCACTCGCTGTAGACGCCTGGAGGTTGGTAGATCTCCCATACTCCACGTTCATAAACCATTAAACTCTGCAGTTTCAAATGATCGCATGTTACTAAACATTCATCATCTACAACACTTAAAATGGCACCACATATTTGGACATAAATACACAGTGGTGCCGCATGTTAAATCTGTCTTTCATTATAACAATGATCATGGCTGTAGACTTGTGTAATAAAAATTTCATTAATTTTACAGGTTTTTTCATAGTATCTCACATATTTTTTTAGATTATATGAGCATCGGTAAAAATTAAAATAAACTAATAATAAATAATTTGAAAACTCCCTTCAATAGTTTATATTTTCAATCAGATCAAACTAGCCACACTAACACTGTAAATATTGCGAATATTATGAAGCACTGTCAGATAAGGTCAAAGAACACATACACGCTACCCACTGCCATGCAAGTGCTCATGTCGGTGGACAGGGTTGAGTGATGGTCAGAAATAAATTCTCCAAGAAAAGAGTCAAATTCTTGACCAATTTCTATTTGTAAGAATATTACTCTAAAGTGGCAAGGATTTCATTTCTGGGTATCTAGGGGAAAAAATTCCCAGGGTCGGGGCCCCCTTCATGCCTGCAAACTCATCTACTGTAACTGGGAATCTCTGTAAACATGAAGCCGTCATCGCATAAACAAGAATCTTCACTGACAGTCAAACCAAACAATGTACAGTTAAATTCATCAATATTCAATATTTATTAAACATCAATAAACAAACAAGGAATATTTTGCTGCATTTTCAACTTAGATAGAAATACTTTATCATTTTTTAAATCATTATGATCTCATTCATACAAATCCCCAAAGAACGGGCTGGTATTATTGGAATGAATCTAACAAATTGCAATTCATTTATTTTTGGTTTATTAATTTTTTTGTGGTAACAAAATTACCTTTCAATGATATGAAGTGTTTTACAATAAATTAAGTTTTAAAAGCATTGCATACTCAACATTAGTTATCATTTTATGGTTGGATTTTGACGGAACTCGCTATCAATAAAGAAGCTGCGACATTCAACAGTATGTAAGTGCTGATAATTGGATTAAATGAAGTGCTAGCAAACTCAGAGGTATTTTCAATACAAATTTCATAGTATTCATCTTGGTAGACAAATGCTATAAATATGGCATCAATAAGAAATACTATATTACCAAAATATAAGTATAATTTTGTTTCTATTGATTAAACAAGATTTAATTATTAATTCAATTTTCAAATAATCATGATGTTACCCAAAGACACACCAACTCCAAAAATAAGAAAAACACATAAACACAACTCCAGTAAATAAAATTTATAATAATTATAGTAAAAATTTCCAATGTAGACCAATAAATTCTTCTCACAATAGAGGGCGCCATACACAATTTTAATGTGAAGAGGTTTTCACATTTATAATAACAATTGTTTAAAAATGGCTGAACTGACCATAATGAACAAAAATTGATAAAACACAAATCATTAGATATAATAGTAACAGAACTTTACAGATGGTGATATAAAGCAACGAAATAATAAAAAATGTAATCATAGCCTATGTAACCAACAGACTTTACCAAAAGGTCAACATTTGTGGTGTTGTTTCTGAAGCAGGCACATTGTAGTCCACAATCAAATACAGTACTATTTTATTATTAGATACTGCAGTGTTGCAAACACATCAAATATTGAAATGTATAAATTCATGGAAAAAAATTGTTTTGCAGATAGAATTAGATTAGTAGAATGGTAAATAACTACCATGTTGTACAGTTTAAATGCAAGAAACTAAGTCATTAAAATCAACCAATCAGACAATGAATATATCATGGGATGCACAATAATTAGAGCAACCTCCAAATCAAGCATTAGGTAAATTATGCATATCATGGGATGCATATTAATTAGATGCAACCTCCAATATCATTTATACATGCAATTGGTCAAGAAGTCATGAATTATAGGTATACATTGGTAAAGGCATTTAAGGTAAAAGGCAACAATTTAAGTACTCGTCTATTTACAAAGAGCGCCACCTAACCTACAGTACTTTTTTCTAAGCAATACAAAATTACCAAATTTACACAAAAACTATCAAGCTATTTCTTGGTCATATTACCTTGGTT